GGCTCCCGCGGGGCGGAGCGCGGCGCGGGGCGGCCCGGGCTGCTGCGCGCGTCGGCCCGCCGAGCGCCACGGCAGCGGCTCCGCAACGGAGACCCTCGCCGGGACCCCGCACCGCGACCCCTGCCTCCTACCGCAACCCCTCGCCGGGACCCCTGCCTGCTACCGCGACCTCTGCCTCCTACCGCAGCCCCTCACCAGGACACCTCACCGCCTCCTAACACAGACCCTCACCGCGACCCCTCACCCGGTCCCTTCACTGCTTCTAAACACAGCCCCTCACTGGGTCCCCTGCCTCCTTCCACGGCCCCTCTCCACAACCCCTCACCACAGCCCCCCGCCATCACCCCTTGGCACAGCCTCTGGCCACAGACCATCTCCAGAAGCTGGCACCACAGTCCCTTGCCATGGCCTCCCTCCTCGCTGCCACAACTCCTCGCCACAGCCTCACCACAACCCCTCCGCAGAGCCTTCACCACAGCTCCTCACCACAGTACCCCAGGTCCTCCACAGCCTGTCACCACAACCCTGTACTGCAACAGCTTGCCACAACCCCTCTCTACAGCTCTTTGCCTCAGACTGTCCCCACAACCCCTCACAAGAGCCCCTCGCAGCCCTGTGCCACCGCTCGCACCGTAGGCCCCAGGCCACCAGCCGTGGCTGCTGCCCCTTGCTCCCCCTGGGTGCCACAGCCACAGCCCCAGCACGGTGGCCACCTCCGCGGGGCTCTGCCGGGACACGGCTGTCCCAGCTGTCCTGCCTCCCCCGAGACTCCTCACTGCTTCTCAGGCACCATGAATCATCCTTAGAAAGGCATTGCACCTGCCTTACAGGCAGCCCAGGTGCGGTCCCAGGCAGGGCTTGGCTTTAACTCGGACATACCAGCACTGCTCTTCGCAGCTTTCTAATACCTATTCTGTAAACTGTCGCTCACATTTTTGCGCAGTCTGTCAGCATGGCAGGGATCTCCAGCAGGCTGGATGGCAGCTTGTGCTGGATGCTGAACAGCAGCTTGTGCCACGGGGCCTCTGCAGAGGGCTGGGCCGGGGCGCAGGGGGACACAAGGGCCCAGCAGCCTCCTGCATGCTGCAGGGGGTCGCTGCCACCGCTTCCCAGCACTGCGCTCACGCTCCAGACAATCCATCCATCATCTCAAAACTTATCATTGCTGGAGAGGTCTGCAAGAGACAAAGACAGGTTTGGTATTGGTGATAATGACAAGCTGTCTCTTAGCACGATTTGAACCATCCATTAGACCAGGTCATGAAATGCATTTAAGGCAGCCAGACTCAAAAAATACTTAGGAGGCACCTGAGAGGCAGCACAGACCACAGCACCCACTGCAGGGGGTGCAGGGCTCCCACCAGGGTATCTTGTGGGTCCGCCCCGGCGTGCACACGGGAGCAGCGAGCACAGCAAGGAGCGGGTGCCGCCTCTGAACATCCCCCAGCAATGCTGCTTGCAGCTCGGCAGAACCTGCACATACGCGGCAAAACCAGGACTCAGAAAAGAGCCACAACAGAGATCTGAAGGCTGGTGATAAATATTTACTGCAAAAGGCCTAAAATGTTTAGCTCCTCAGAAGACAATGGTGGTAACTTCCTTCTGACGTATAATTACAGAAATGGTAGAATACCTGGACAGTAAAGGCTTTTTAAACTTTTACAGTCCTTAACCCGGGCATTTTCTAGCCTCAAAGTTTGACTTTACAATCTGGGCACTCATTTTCTGGAGTTTTCCTGCATATTTAATAGATGATGTTATGAGTAATTCCTGTTTGCCTTGGACTATTTTTTCACAGATATACTTACATTATTTCATTCTATTTTTATTAATGTATATTCTATGTTTTATATTTTTTCCTTTATGTTTTGTGATCCTAAGAATATTTTCTTTCCCTTTAAAAAAAAAGTTTTGAAAGATTTTTTTAAGCTTATTTCACCTAGAGATCACTAACAAAAGCATGCAGTAATACTGGTAAAAATAAATCCTTTGCATCAAAACCTGGCTCACATATTACATCAATACTCACATTTGCTTTGTCATAAAATGGAAAATAAACTTCTGCATTTTTAATCAATTAATCAACAGGTTTGGCAGTGACAGTCTGAATGGCATCATTATGAACATCACAGTTGATAGTTTTAGCAGAAACATTCATCTATGGTGCTTTCCTCCCCAAATGCAAATAGCTGCCTTTTGCACTTCAAATGTCCAATACTCCAATTATTCTCCACATAGAGGCCTAATTATTTATCTTTCTTATGGAGAATTTCTACAATAATTTCACACGACTAATGAAAAGATAAGTCTTCCTCATACCAAAAAAGGAAAGCTTTCTTGGGAATTGCCCCAAAAAACGGACAATACAAGATACATTTATACATAACAGAAAGGGTTTGCTGGGCAGACTGTGATTTATTTTTGATTTTATCATGAAAAATTAATTCTGAATTTAACCACACAGAAGGAGTTACAGTCCCAGAGAATCGATGCTGTAGATACTTGTCACAGAAATCCTTCTGCATGTATATGGCACAGGTGAGAAGCCAGGTGTGTGTTCAAGAACAAATAGTGTTTAGGCACAAGAGGGCATCCTCACTGCAGAACACGACATGACTGCCTTTCCTGGTAGCAGAAAAGCAGAATGAAATGGAGACAAAGCCTCTTGGCTTTCCAACTGCTGAGCTTCTTCGCCATATCACAGTCCTCTTATTTCTAACTTCAAAAGCTTAGTACCTGAAGACTTGTCCCCACGCTAGGGTAGACTGTATCTGGCCAAGCTGAGTGGTACATGCAGAAGAGCAGGTTTTCTTCCTTCCTACAGAGAACCATGCTAATCACATTCTGTTCCCTCCTGGTTGCTTCTGGGATTAGGCCTCTGTCCGGAAAGAAAGGAATTTTCTGCCTCTCAGAGGAAGTGTCTTAGTTCTGGCAGCCTTTCATGATTCTGTTTCCGCCTCTGAAATCTGAGACCAAAAAACATGACTGCTGTTCTGGGATCCATTCCTCATCAGGTCTGTGGTAGCTCTCTCCTCCCCTGTATCTAAATCAAAAAGCTTTTGGAACAGCGTTATGAATGGAGTCAGCTGGATTTAGGCCCTGTTGTCCCACGGAAAAGCTTGGCCTCTAGATATATTTAACTGACGCTTGGTTTCAGCGCTTCCCTATTTGTGTGAGCACAGCAATATTCTTGCTCACAGCAACTGAAAAATGCTTGCTCTCATCAGTAACTTCCTCTAGGGAAAAAGTTTATTTCACAGCTGTTTTTTTCTGCTCTCACTGTTTCACCTTGTGCTCCTTCCATCCTCTGTTCAGATTACTTACCCATTCTCCAGACACCAAAATTATTTAGCTCTTTTCTTCCTACAGAGGTTATGGCTGTCTTCATCTCATGCTTATTGGCCAAGCTTCTGAAAAATTGGTTTGGTAGTAAATAGAGTCAATAACACCTTGTATTCTGCCTTGTTCTGCCTTGTCTTCTTCTTTTTTTTTTTCTCATAAAAATGGCATTCATTGTATTTATCCAATATATAAATATCTGATGTCTAATTCTGGTTTTGTTTGTGATGTTACCCTTTGCATAATGGCAGAATAGTAGGGTGTTTTTTTTTTTTTATCTTGGCCACTTATTTTCAGCTAATAAAATTTCATTACTTGCCTCAGTAGGTTTTGCTTGAAATGGGCCCACACGTTTACTCATGAAAACAGTGTAAGGGAAACAAGCAGAGAAGCCCACAGACAGAGGGAAAAGAGAGGCCTGGTTAGGAAACCAAGATAAAAGCTGGTTACATGGCTTAACAGGACAAAATAAGAATGAGGCTTGGTATTTAGTTACAAACAACACCTATTTCATGCCACGCACTGAATGAGCTCTTGCAATTGCTGTCCACAGCAGATCCTGCAGACACCTTTGGTCGCTTCACTGGTAACATACGTGGGAACTTATCCATATTGGTGATGCTCAGCGTCCTCTGATACTTCTTTGTAAAGAACTCTCACATGTTCAGATGCTACTGCCTAAGTGTTAATAGAATACATATCACTCATTAATATTTTTGATATCAAGTAAAATATTCTCAATGCCATTACATTTATTGCAATTGCTTCTATTAATAATTTATCTCTTGTGCTCTTTTCTGTCTATTGTTTCCCAGCTCAGTTTTAAATTTTCCCTTTTCCTATGCTTTGCTTCCCTTCTGTCTATCTCCAACCCTCTCTATTATGTACTTTTTCCAAAATTTACCAGAAAACGAGCTCTGCATAAGGCCTCATCTTGCAGACAGCACCGCAGAGAACCCAACATTCGTGTGTGCTGTTCTGTTCTCAGTTTGCCAAGGAGAACATTTCTGAGAGACTTGGGAAAGATTCAAATTACTTGCATCATTTACCACAGGAATTGCTGTTCTAAAGCAAAAGTGCATTTATGCTATGAATATGTGTACTTACACACAGGTCCTAAAGGATCTTCTGTTCACTACATTTTAGCCAGAATCAGCAGATTTTTACGCTATGCAGAAAGAGACACTGCTTGAAAAAGAAACAAAAAGGTAGGAATTACATCTCATACCTCACACAACAGGGCACAGAAGGCTGAATTCTAAGTTAGAGGTACAGTGTTGCAAAAGCATATTTAAATAACCCAGAAGTTTTCTATGTAATTGTTATGGATTACATCTGGATCAACTGCAGATTAGCACTAATTCCTTATTTAACTTCTGGTTGACTTTTTGTTGGTCATGTAGATTGTCTCTTTTTTTTTTTTGCTCCACTGAATATGAAAAACAGCAAAAGATGGGTAGTAAACTTTGTCTGGAAAAAGTGTTGTTTTATTCTGGATTGAATATATATATATGAATATATGCAAGTATAATGATCCATAAACATACATGTACAGACACTGCACAAAAAGTAGCCAACTGCATACATGCAGGACGAGGAAAAAAGCTCATATTTCTCTTCAATCCATCTATCCACCTCAGCACTGCACAGTCACATGAAGTGAGAGGAAGCGTGTACCCTTATGCCAACTGATAAGAGAAACAAAACAGCTGAGTGATGTATTGCAGGTCTCTCTAATGTTACGGGGTGATAAAAAATCTGCATTAGCTCAGAGGCAAGGCTTGTACTTTCCAAACAAGCAGAATCTGGATTCTAGCAGTGCTCCGTCAGGAACTCAGCGCATAGTCACACCTCAGAATTCCTCAAAGACCACTGGTATTTGACATACTGATAAGGGCTGCTAATTAGAAAAAAACACGTTCAGTACACACACACTGCCTCACCTTCAGCAGTTGAATTAACATGAGGGAATCTTTTAAGGGACTTGAAGGGAGACTGCATATTTTAAAAAAATACTTTTAGTTATAGGAAATACCTATAGGCTATAGGTTATATAGGCTATAGGAAAAAAAAAACAGAATTTACAACAGGTTGCAACTGTAGTTTGTATTATGTAACCTTTGTTTAAATCGATGAATGCATGTGATAAACTCAAATTGAACTGGAGTTTTTCAAAGCCCTGTTTTAACTTCTACAGCTCTAAAGGCAATTACTGAAAAAGAATGGGTTGTTACTCATCTCCCGTGCAAAGAAAAGTCTAGATGCTAAGAAGTCTGAAATAATGGTCTGAAATACTTAAAGATCTGACCTAGAGAATCCTTTGTATGATACAGATGAGTTTTTACTGTTCAAGTAGTAAGAGATTATTTGGCTATATGCAGCAGGTTGCTAGTAGGCAAGCAAGTGTTCCCATTTTTCCTTTTAGATATATGTAAACACTTTGAAATAAGTTAAAGTCAATTTTCACTTATCTGAAAGAAAATTTGGTCTGATGATTAAGACATTTCATCTGCCTATGATTTCCTGGCTGTCTCTGCTCCTGCTGTTACAATTCATCAACTGGCACTCAAGTATTCCCATTTCTTTATGAAGCCACCTGAAGAAAAAACAATTATGATGACAGAATAAGGTGAAAGCAAAACTACTGCAAAAGAAGGCAATAACAACCAGATCCTAGTAACATGTCTTAGAGACAAATCTGAGACAATTTGGAATGAATTCTAAATCCTTCTCTGCCCTTTAGGCTCACTCTGTTTTTCTCATCCTTTTCTTCCCTGCACAAAATACCCAGTTAATGCATACAGGTGTAGAAGGTAGGATTTTGTTATTCTTAATTTGTTTTTTATTTAGTATGTTTATTTAGCATAGAACACCTGTTCAGAAAAAAAAAAAAAAAAAAAAAAAAAAAAAGCACTATCAAAATGGAAGTTTATCAAAGATAGCTGTATATAAAACATTTGCTCCAACCTGCAATATGATCATAGAATTAGGGACACAGAAGTTTTATATTTGAAGAAATTCTAGTAGTATTTGTCTGGAAATCAAGCCCTAAATGGAAGGTAGAATGAAGCATTTGATGAAAACAGTGAATAAAATTAGGAGAGCTGGGCTTATGTCCGGTAATTAATGCTATTTCACTAGTATAGAGTTTCTCTGTCCTTCTCTGTGAATTCAGCAGGCATACAGTATTACAAGGCAAATGTATTTTTAAGGTTTCCTGAAGATTCTGTTGGAAAAGACTGCCTCAGAGAGATCCAGTGGGGATTTTTGTGTGGAACTGGTTGACAGCCTGTTCTGGCAGTTCATAGAGCTCAGTTCTGTAAGTGGGCAGTTGAAAAGATCAGTTCTACTGAGGTCCTTCCCAGGGGCAGGTTCTGTTTTTTCTCTCTCCATCACACTGGAAACAAAGTATAGTGAAAACAGTGTTCTTTCAAATTGCTGTTATAAAAATTATGGACTGTTCTTTGCGAGGAGAATTTGTTTTTACCAGGCAATGAGCCACGTTGGCAAGGGCACCCCTTCTGCCTCACTGGCAGTACCTGAACACACAGGGCATCCCCAGGCTCCTGGTGAGGAGGTTTTATGTGCGTTGAGAAAGTTGCCGGGGTCAGGTGTCCTCAAGTCCTTCCGATAGGGAGTAAAAGCAGGCTGAGCTACCACTCGATATCATTCCGCCATCCAGAGTCACTGCAAGCTGAAGTTCCATCAAATTGTGAAGTTTGAGCTTTTTGTACACACATTACACATGTTCCCATTTTGCAAGCCACATTTCTAATTCTTTACAGTTGAGGCCTGCAGTTTGCAGACCCTGATCACTTTTTCTTTTCTTGCTAAGAGAAGGCATCTTAAAAAAGTTCTCCTTCCACTAAGTCCCTGAATAAAGTCATAGTTATGCATCTATCCTAACATACATTTGTAGCAGTTTAAAATGCCTTTGCTTATTTATCTTCTATTGGTTTAATTCAGTTAAGAAATCAACACAACTCAAGGTCAGTTTTAGGCTGCAACTAAGTGGTCAAGCTCTAGAGTTTTCAACAGAACAGGAAAGTTCCCTGTAGTACTTTATATTTCCACCCTTCAGAAAAATCAAAAAAATTACTAAGCAGAAAGGTTCAAATACATGTACACCACCATGCAGAGTAGAAACAACTAGATGCCTACTCACCTCTGACTGGCATCTCTGAACAGCTCTAAGTGAAACAAAATCGTCTCATTCTGAATTTGTTTTTTGACTTGTTTTATTTTTTAAGGTTCAGATTCATAGAATAAAGCAAGTTAAAAGGGACTTTTTTGTTTCACATGCTTTTTAATAGGTATTCTAGCTTCATATTGTTTTGAATATTTCTTGAGAGTAATATACAGAAAACAAATATTTCATGCTTGTGTAGGGTAAAGATAGCTCCGTTTGCTAAAACTCTTTATCTTTGCAAAAAGATACCACATATGGAAAACTTAAACTAGAAAGAATTTCTGAAAGTTATGAGGGACGAAAATAAAAAAATGGAATTAAAAACTCAACTCCAAGTCAATCTTAATTGTAATGCCTATTTTATTTTAGTATACAGCAAATGTACAATGTGCAACTAAAATGATATAATTTATTATAATATTTTAGAAAAAGTCTTAATTGCTCTTTTGTAAAAATAACTACTGAAATAATCACCATAAAACTAAAGTACAAAAAAAGAAAAGTATAAATCATGGCAGGTTCAGAGTTTCATGTCTTTTTGCCTAACTGTTGAATATGAAATGCTGTATCCAGTTTTTCAACACTGCCTGGTTAATGGAGCAATAAACTGGTTCTGAAATTTGAATATTTAGAAACATAAGATGAAAGCATCTACAAAAACAGCAGATCTTGATTATCTATATTGGATGCATTTTCCTGCATTCCTTGTCTTATATTTCACTTGTAATTGGCTACAGTTATGAACACAGAAAACACAGGAAGGATATGGAATCAAACACCATATTTGTTACCAATAACTTGTGCCCTTTCTATTTTTATGGTTTTGAGAAAGACATCATCCTCTGTGAAAAGCCAAATTGCACTTTCAGAAATTAAATTATTGCTTTTCTTTGAAACTATTTCAACAAACTTAATGGAAAAAAAAAGCACCTACCTTATGGTGGGAAAATGGCAGGGTTTTCAGGCTAGCTCAGCTAGCAGAAGCTGAGGCAAATGAACTGTAAGCATACAGCAACCTCTTGTGGCAAAAATTCTATATGCATAATAATTAACAGCCATTAAAAACTGTAATTCTGCTTAATATATGAAACATAAACCCCTATAACATCCTCTGAAGTCTCAGTAAAGCAATAAGAGCTGGAGGACAGGAAGTACTTATATTTCATAATTCTGATAGCTCTTCAATCCTTCCAAATTAAATAAAATTGGAAATCTTTAAAATGAAGTGCCAGATTGAAATTTATATTAATAGAAATTATGAGAATATTAATGAAAAGAATAATAAAGTTATCCTTTTTCCATTAAAATCCACTGAGAATGGAGTTAAGCCATCAGCCTATGTCCAGTTTTGATATGAAAAACAAATATATACTCACTGACATGTTGGATCACTGTTGTCTGCATGGTTTTGCCAAATAAAGGGAAAACTATAACTGGTGAAAATAGATGCCAAAATGTCTTTGCAGTAGCTGCACAAGACTGGAAATGGATGCCAGGTTTGTGCCTGCTCCAGTACCATACTCTGCAGAACACTGTCAGAGCAGCAGCCTTCCACCTGAGAGTGGGGAAGACAAGAACTAGTCCTAAAAAGTTTGAGGCCTTGAAATGCAAAACGTGCAAGTGTGTCAGCAAAGGATCCCATCACATTTGCCTTCTGTCCAGATATAACTCTCAAGTAACCCAAAAGCATCAAGTGATCTGTCTTGACGGCAGACGGAGCAGCTGCAAGCGTCCGTCCTGCTCCTGCTGCAGGAGGGAGAAGGGGAACTACTACGAGCCATGGAGGAACCGCGAGCGGCGGCCGCAGGTTTACCTGGGGGACACCAGGGACCCCCTCACGCGCCTTACATGAAGAGGAACAAGCCCCACAGAAGACACTAGAATTGGAACAGACGCACACTCCTCCAGCATGGCTAGAGATAATCTCAGTAAATGCTCTTGCTTTTGTCTTACCAGTATCTCAATATCTGAATTTTGAACACCAGCGGGGGGGCACTGGATTTGAAATGATTTGCAAATCTGGGCATCCTGCTTAGAGCAGACAGCTTGAACTACTACAGCCTGCGAGGGGTGGAGTCTTTAGAACAACACTTCTTATCTTTTCTAAGTCTTTTCTTCCTTTTTATTATAACTTTCCAGATTAGTCGCATTTATTTTTTTTGCCACTTCATCTGCTGCATTCCTTCGCAAGTATCTATCATGGGCATTCCTTCACATGGGTCAAAAAACATTTACTTTTGATTCAGTGTTTAATAACACA